TATAAATTTAAGACTACGTCGCATATAATTCGCAGAATTGGTGCATAATTAATTATAATATTTATTTTTTGAAAAGTTCTGTCTGTGAAATAAATATAAATTTAAGACTATGCTGCATATCATTCGCAGAATTGGTGCATAATTAATTATAATATTTATTTTTTGGAATGTTCTTTGTCTGTGAATTAAATATAAATTTTAGACTACGTCGCATATCATTCGCAGAATTGGCGCATAATTAATTATAATATTTATTTTTTAGAAATTTCTGTGTGTGAATTAAATATAAATTGAAGAATACTATTAGATGAATGAACCTGCGATTATTACTTCGAAACAATTCCGCATAAAAACTTCATAACACTCGTACTATAACGAATAAAATTTAATTTTTTATGTTTTTGTAAATTTTCTATTCGGCGACGTACGAAATTGTGACATACGAACGTCGCATATTAGTGCCCGAGTTGGTAAATAGTTAAAAGTTTTTGAAAAGTTTTTGGTCTGTGACTAAATTATTAATAAATTGAAGACTACTACTATTAGGTCAATGAACCTGCAATTATTACTCGAAACAATTCCGCATAAAAACCGCATAGCACTATTACAATAACGACTAACATATATTTTTTTTATTTTTGTTTTTGTAAATTTTCTATTCTGCGACGTACAAAATTGCGACATACGAACGTCGTATATTTTTGGAGAGTTGTAAATAATAATTTTTGGAAAATTCTTGTTCTTTGACTAAATTAATAAATTAAAAAAAAAACTATTAGGTAAAAAAAAAGCGGTGCGTAACACTATTCGAAATGTGTTCGCATATTGATACATTTATGCGAGTTTTATATGGATATGCGATTCGTAACTATGCGAAAACATAACGCATAAGCGATAGTTATCTAAGCCTTTGGATATGCGAATCGTAAATTATGCGAACATATGCCGCATAGTCGCATACTCATAAATGATGCAGTTTGGATATGTGATAATCTAATTACGCGACAGTTTTCCACATATCCTAAATGATGATGCGGTTGATCTGGCCTGGATATGCGATTAAAAAATATAAATTACTTTTATTTATTTTTATTCACTACGTTATGCGAGAACAATGCGATCATCGCACTTTGTTCACAGTTCTGCGAATTTCCTTTCAATAATATTTTCCCTTCGAATATTGTCGCTGATTTTGCTGGGAAAACTCTGTTAACGGACATTAATAGTTTAATTGTCCATGCAACATATTGTTTTGTTTTGACATATGAATCATGATTAAACAAACACGTACTTGACAGAAGAAAAAAATATTTATTATTACTACAGTCAGTCCAACAAAATAAGCCAAACAACTTTTGATTACATGTCCAGTGGATTCTAAGGGTCGAGATCGATGACTTCCACGTCTATCGCCGCTGCGTTGCGCTCGGTAAAAACCTCGTAACACTCACCATACCAAGGGAATCATTCCGAACGGAAAAATGCCTGAGTGTCGGTCTCTTGTGTAATAAATTTAAATCTTTTTAGGTCACAAAAATGCATGCTTGAACAAACTAAAATAAAAAATCTGATGCAATTTACCTCCTCCCCCACATACACCCAGTACATGTGGTTAACCCTAGCAAAGCCTGTATCACGACATAAGAGGACGCCTGGAATCATCAGGAAAGCAGTAAATTCATCGAAATAATTTCTGAGTAGCTGAATCTTTCGCCGGACTTGAGAAATAGTAAACTCCCTCTTAAATGCATAACTCAGGCATTGGTTCAGGACTATTGAAATTTCTGCCCATAAGGAATTGAACACATGGCATTTGTGTATGTCTGCCTTCCGACGACACCATTTGAAAAACACTTGGTAGCAAATACGTTCCTCCTCCTCTGTCCAGTCCTTGACACGGAAGCGGATCGCGATCTTTTCATAGGGTGAAATCCTTTCCATTTTTTTTTTTTTCACAAACG